AAAAGACCCTGGTCCCCACAGTGTCAGTAATACCAGATGCACACAAACCATCTTTCCATCCATTATCTATACCGCTTATCCTGACAAGGGTCACAGGGGGGCTGGAGCCAATCCCAGCTGACATTGGGTGAGAGGTGGGGTCCACCCTGGACAGGTCACCAGTCTGTTACAGGGCTGACATGTAGACAAACAACCACACACACTCACACTCACTCCTACAGGCAGTTTAGAGTCACCAGTCAACCTAAGCTGCATGTCTTTGGCCTGTGGGAGGAAGCTGGAGCACCCAGAAAGAACCCACGCAGGCCCAGGAAGAACATGTAGACTCCACACAGAAAGGCCCCGGGTTACCCAGGGCTCAAACCCAGAACCTTCTTGCTGTCCACCATCTTTTTGTCTTCTTTAAATTACTGTAAATGCATCCTCCCTCCTGTGCAGCCAATTTGACTGACATGAATGGCAAACACTTTACCCAGGTGTTGCCTCTTAAAAAATTCTACACATAAATGTTCCATCTGCCTGTGATAAGGAAAAACTTTAAGGTCGTGACTTTTACTCAGCAGCGGCTGTATGGTGGCTCCTCGACCATCATATAACCACTCAGAGCACCATGAACAGTGAATGAATATTTCAACTAGGGTTGCCCCTCTGACAGTCGACTAGTCGAATCCGTTGGCGTGGGACCCGTCAGTCAACTGACACTTCTCCAGTTGAGCCTTTGTTTTTATTTTATATTTTATTTTTTGTCAGCCAGTCTGCATAACAACAGAAGGCAGTGCCAGCCTCCATTAGTTTGTTGTCTTCTTCTCCTCATTTTGATGTGCCAAGCAGCATTTTGCTCACTGCCTCTCCCTGTGGGGGGGGCTTACCCACATCAACGGTGACACTGTAGGAGGCATAGATGTATTAAGGTCTGATGACATTATTTAGCAAACTGCTGCCCAGAACAAGGGGGAAAGGACAACAAAACCACATGAAGCTGAGATTTGTACTTTATTAGAAGTGTTTTCAAACATCGTGGTTTACTTCTCAAGAGGAAAAACTTTAAGGGTCACAACGATGTGCTGCCTATGTGTGTCTTGTTTGTTTGCCCAACTCTGTTTAATCTTATGTTTCTGCGATACACATCCATCTTTAACGGGACTAGGAAGCTAACAAAAATGTGCTGGGAAAATATTTCAAGGAGGAATTATAAATCAGAGGAATCATAAATATATATTCTTATATTCTTTAGTAGTGTAAGTTGGCACGTACCAAACATAACAAGCCGCTGTGGTTAACTGACGAGAGAAGCTTCAGCTTGTTGGTAAACCAGGCTATAAACATCTCAGGAAAATAAATGCCTATAAGAACCTTGTTTCAACAAAAATACAAGTGCGCTGCCTGTCTCGTTATTCGGATCAATCCACATGGCAGCCTGACGTTGTACATCGTCAGTTTAAATACGTCACAATTTAAAATCTTGCATCAGATGCACCTGTCTTTTATTGATTTTTTTATGTTCCTGTCACTCTTTTGTATTTGAACATGGGTGTTAACGTGGCATGTGAGAAATTCATGCCAGTTGATTTTCTGACAGTCTAGGCTATATATAGACCTACATCTTGAAAAAACAACAACAACAACAACAACAAAAGAACGAATAGCCGCGCTGAACAGCCGAATCTGAGCCAACTGACAAAATTCTTAGTTTGGTACAGCCCTAAATTCAACAATACATCAGCAGTCATAAATGCATTGATGACATGGCTAGCATGAGGTCAAAGGTCATCAGGATTGGTCTATGCAGTAATGTTGGCACCATGACAAAAGAAACACTGAATTTGTATAAAAAGCATGAAAATGGATGTTATGGAACTGAAACATACAATATATAAACAATATCATCATGTATTATGCTGACTCATGAGTAGAACATGACGGTGTTACATGTTACTTTAAATCCTATTTAAATGTCAGGCCCTGCAGCAGTCAGACCAGCTTAGTGAAATTCCCTGAAAGTTAGATTTCGCACTGCAGAATTTGGCCTTCAAGAACAAAAAAAGTACCTGTTATCACCGTTGAATCAGTCCTGCATTGAAGAAGGTTAGAGTAAAAATTATAAAACAGGTAGAAGATCAAAATCAAAGTCTCTCTTACCATGAGTCTCAGTTTCTTGGTGAGGGAATACAATGCCTTCAGTTTCAAATAGGGGCTGCAGGAAGGCCACTACAGAGAGAGGAAGCACAGGGGTGGGGAGTCTGTGGCATAAACTAATCATAAAGAGAAACAAGCGTTATCATGATCTCTTAGCAGTACTTTGACTTGTACAAATTTTAACTTGGAGCCTGAGTGCAGATTAAAAGAATAGAAATATACTGTACAAACATACTCTCAGTGTAATTATACAGCTTATCTTAAAGCATTTGGGGTAAAATCAGCCACTATAAAGTGAATGATTTCTTCTGCATAATGGGCCAAAAATATAAACACTTTCTTCATCTTATTTTTAATGAAATAAAAGAACTGTTTAGGCTGATCTCATCTGTGTCATCAGATTAGCTCAAACTCTAAATATCAGTCATCAAGACTAAATTCTTCATTCATCAAATTTAAAGACATTTTTAAAACAGAATTAACTGTCAGTGCACAATTTTGACAAAAGACACGCAGCCAAGCTCTCATTCCTCTTTGCTGTCTGTATTAAGGGGCCGTGGTGAAGTGTGTGTGGGAGCGACTCGATCATTCTCATCCCATCTTCAGCCTGATGCTGCTGGCTGAGGGAGCTTTGACCTGGCGGCAGTGCGGTCATCTCCTGCCAGAGTAAAAGCCTGTTCAACCGAGCTCGTCGTCATCATCATCACCCCAACCTTTTCATTTGTCTAAGTGCACGAGCCGCCTTACTGTTACGTAGGCGGGAAAATGGTCTCTCGGGGGGAGCCTTCGGTTTTCACACACAGCGAGGAGGAGCCTTTAGAGCTCCGAGTGCTGTGGAAATCTGCAGTTCATGCTGGCTAACCTGCAACCCATCCCTCCTCCATCGGACACTCTCTCTCCCACTAATTATTACTCCTGCGGTCGACTGTCATGTTTCCTGCTGCTTTTTTTTTTGTCATTGCTGAAAGTCTACAAAAACCTACTGAGCCTCAGGAGTCTCTATGGATCACACTAAAGAACACTTTTATTATTATTATTATTTGTTCAAATTGTGCCACCTGCTTTTGTGTACTAAAGGGGACAAACTTTTAACTTTTGTGATATTACAATAACAATCTTAACTGCTTGCACTATAACTAGCAGATCAACCATACATTAGGTTTTGTCCAGTGAGCTGATAAATCAGGCCACCTCAGTGTCCATATACTACTCATACTGACCCTCACTAACACAATGCCCCTTTCTGATCACACCTGCAGACAATCTAGCAAAGAAGAATTATTTTTAAAATCTGATTTTTAGTCATTATTTACCAAGCAGGATACACCAATACAAAATGCGTTTTACCACTCTATGTGTCAATGGAGAGATTTAAGGTCCGTTTAAGACTGTTTACAGACTCTTCAGCTCTGATAGGAAACATTTGATGGGTGAAACAGGATCATTTTTAAATTAAAAATGGTCTAATTAAATGCAGCATGATATAACAACTGCATACAACTTCATTCAGATAATAATACTAATGAGACTAAATTTAGAATTAAAAGAGGAAGGTCGCTTAAAATCTGTTTTGTTTTTTTTTACTTTGATTCTGTGGCAAACAGCACTTGGTGGGTTCCTTCTCCAAACAGCTCTGCCATTTCAGTCTAGCTAATGAGTTTTTCCTCTTTGTTTCTCAAAAGGAGCAGGTGTCCCAAAATAGCAGGCTATTACATGTTCACACTGACAGTACATTTAACAGTCTGCACTAAAAGCCTGGGTCCAGTGAAATCTACAAAATCCAATTAAAACCTTTTAGATGGCATATTTTACTCTTAAAAGCCTTTAGCTGCCTATAAAAACTATCCTAAATCTTCACCGTGTCTTCACTCAGTGTACCAACCCTTTGTGTGTAAATAACATTTAAAGGTGCATTGTATGTCCAAATGTCCATGATGGGGTGCATGACCAGAATAGGCTACTGATGGTTGCAATGCCAGGTGATGGGAATGCTTGGCGCATGACAGTATGTAAACAAAAACCAAATATGGTGATTGCTATGGTGACATATCAATATTTCATCCAACCAGAGAATAAAAACGAGCCATGATTGGACAATTTAGAGAGGAAAAAAATCTCTCCCTCGCAGGTTATTAAATATCGGGGTGGCAAAGCCAAAACATACATACACACATTTTATATATATCTATATATATATGTACACGCATACATATATATGCACTGACATACTGCTACAACACAGACGCTGTCGCAGTCTGAGCTGGGCTGCCCTTGTTCTTTCTGGCTCGCCACAGGCCTGCTGTTAATACGAGTTCGCTTGTTTATCCGCTTGTGTCATTGTACACAAAGCGGAGATGGTGGCTGATGTGTGAGATTATCACAAGGTCATCCGTCGACGGGGAGCTTGCTATCACGCACCAGCCTGATCTGGCTTTCACTTGTTTACATCCCTATTTCGACTCTAGCATGGCCGCTGTGGCTGTGCGTAAATCTTAAGACGCAATAAGGCTGATGTACAGAGGCTGAAACCGCCAGGATGTGTGCGAGGAGAACCGGCGGCTTCCCTCCAAATCCCCCCTCAGTCCCTCTCATTGTTTGCTTTCCATCACAGCGGCGGCCCGTGATTATTTTAATGCTGATGGAAAATGACTGTCGCTCATTAGATAGCGGATAAAAATATCGTGCTCTCTAAATTTATACCACTGTGATACTGAAGTACAAATCTCTGAATCTAGGGCTGTAGCATGGCACTGTGTACGCCAAGAATCAGACCAACCTGCTCTCCTTTCTCTAAGCCTGCCTCAGGACGAAGCAACATTCACCGAAACCCGAACAGCTTCCCGCATCCCCATCGCTGCTCTTACCTCCAGTGTTTGTGCGTTTGGTGCTGCTGGCCTCAGTTGGAGTCTCCAGGGGTCTTTTACGCGAGTCCGGGGGATCGGACTCCATGTGTGGTTGTTGATTGTGATGGTGAGGATTTGAGAAAATCCCGTTTTGCTGTACTGCTCCGCCGGCCATCATTTTCGAGCTTGCTCTCGGATGCTTGGGCTGCGCTTGCGTTTAAATCCCCCCTTTTCCGTTTTTTACGCAGCGTAGCCGTGTAGATGAGTCCTTACAGAAGGCGAAAGCGACTAAGGAATTGGAAAATACGCTTGTTTTCTTACGGACGAGGGAGGCTAGTCGCGCGCTTCTCCTGCACAGTGCCGTGCGTAGGGGAGATGCTGCACAGGGACAGAAAGCGGCGGATGATCGGCTCAGAGAAGAAAAAATCCGAAACCTGTGCAGATGGACTATCTTCTGTGATAATAATACGTGCAAATGGAGCGTCAATCTCCCATCAACCTTGAAATGCAGACTAGGATATGTGTGTCATTCCGCAGCAACCGGATAAAAGAGCATACTCATGTCAGGCGGTGCAGGATGGTGGCGCTCCTCTGCAACAGCCAGCGAAGCGGAACAATAAATACAACAAAACAGAAACCCAACCGAAAGACAAAGAAATGAAATCAATTAAGAAAAAAGAAGTTCGGCTAAGCAATAATAATGATACAAAAAATCCGATGTATTACTGAAGAGCTATAATTTCTGTCTTCTTATCCTGTCCTGGCTCCGATGATGAAGACACCCGGGAATGGCGGGGTGGGTGAGGAGGGTACGGAGATGCGGTGCTACACACGGAAAAAGACGTTTTTTCCTGCCTGTTCTCTCGGTGAAGATGCTGCAGTCTTGCGTTCAGAGCATCCCTTCTCTGACTGGCTGCTGGAGGGAGCGCAGGGGAGCGGCTGACGTCACAGGGCCTCGCGATGCCTTCATGGGCTTCCCATGCACTCGGAACTCCAAAAATTTGATGCAATAGTGCAACCTGAGTGTGTTTTAGTAAACTTTGTCAGGAAATAAAGCCATGGATTCTTACTCTGGTATACGCGTTTTCAGCTGCTTTTGTTTATAACATCGAGGGCTGGTGCAAAAAAGCAGTTATGGGGTTAAATTTTTTAACCATCACAGTTGTCTTTAACCATCTCATGGCCCAACACTTCACAGGTTTCCATTCAAGGTAACATAATAAAGCAAATCACATGACTCGGCTTACAAACTCTGCAACCGATAGGCTAGATAGTGCAGACTGTGAGTTAAGTCAGACAGAAAATCCCGGCTTCAGCATTTTGAGGTCGCTCATTGGTGCGTTTCTTATTATCGACACCACCTGAAGTTATCATGGGAGGGAACGCGAGAAAATGAGAGAGAGAGAGAGAGAGGGAGAGGGGGAGAGAGAGAGACGCCTCGTCGATACGCGATTGGCCGAGGCTGCGTTTCTCCAGCAAAACGAAAAGTACACATATATTCGTCCGGTGTTGTCACATGACGGGGAGTAAAGGATGCGGCGGCGGGTTTTTACTCCGTTATAGCTGCGGTAAATGCAGTTATGGCCGAACAGGAAACTGGGGTCCCACTGGGGCTGTATGAAGGTTTTGTGCTGCCTGTCAGCAGGTCAGGGGAGCCTCAAACACACCTACCAATCTGCAGGAAGACAGCAGTTGTCTGTCTTAAATTTAAAGCCTCAGAAATCAGCAAGTGATTTTAAACTGGTGAAGGTTTAAGGAGAATTTTTATATTGGAGGCCACAAATAAGTAAGGGTTTTTATGACTGTTTTGCTTGTATTTGTTGTTGTAACCCTCGCTGTGATCTCAACTATCTCAAATTTGACAGATTTTTGTTTCCAACGCACCTAACCAACCCTGACCCCCCTCAGGCCAGACTGCAGGCCTGCTCAGCCTCTACCAAACTAAGAAAAACAAAAATGTTTGGCAGTTTTTCCATTTTATACTTTTACCATAATGCAAGTATAGCACTGAAAACTGCTCTGATAGAGAGGACAACCTGAGAACCTGGCCTGTCTCACCTGTCTCCTCAGCTGCTGTGTGACCCACCTGTGTGTGCTGCGCCTGACATCTCTGCGTCGCTCTGCCTGGATCTGAAGAGGGATCCTCCAGCACTGCGAGCTGTCTGAGAGCTATACCCGCCTCAGTCCTCCTCTCCCTCTCTCTCTCTCACACACTCACACATTTCACATATTCTCACACACACACTGCCAGAGCACGCAAACACCTTGTACTCCCTTTCTCCTTCTGTCCAGTGCCATGCAGATGTGGTGCGCCCTCAATGCCTCCTGTAGACTGTAGTCAAGGTGACATTGTGCTGCCTGTACACACACACAAGCACAGTTGCACAGAACAGCTATCTTGCGTTATTTCACATCGCTATGAGAAACGCATCGGTGAGCCAGTCCCCTGCTCTAGAAATACGTGGCAAATCCAAGGCAGACAGATCCCAAGCTGCAGTCTGAAACAGATTCTGCACCACAAATAGCATGAGCTGCTCAGAGGGGACAAAAGGCCTGAACACTGGCACCTAATTGTATGAGCTACTCTGCACAGTACGTAGACTGAAGCACAGTTTCAGCTGAGAGGGTCCCACAGAAGCCCGGCGGTCCGCAGCTGCAGCATGAATAAAGTGAAGTATCTCCGTAACTGGTAAAGCACACAGACCAGCAGCGTTGAGGCTACAAGCGTATATGGTGAAATGCTTTTCAAATTTGTTGGTTCACCTAAAGCAGCTTTCAGAGGTGCCACAAGATTTCAACTGCACGTGCTGCTTGGTGTTATAACTCAGTTTTTCCCACTGTGACACAGTCTCAAGCAAAAGCTTCAGTTTATCCAACAGCAAATGTTATTCAAACTTCCACATGAGTTTTCTTCTCACAGAATCAACAATGAAGAGGAAATTCTGTGACAAAAATGTCTGAAAGTGAAACAGAAGAAGAGTTGAGATGGACCAGCTGGGGTGTCAAATCTCAAAACTGGTTTTTAGATTTGACCCAGTATACCAACTGAGCAGTGAGCACTTAAGCCAACATTTTCACCCCATAATATAATAATCAGTCCTGCTATTGAGATAATAATTATGCTACTATTAATCTACCCTCCAATAATAAAAATAGACTATATAAATGGAATTATAAATATATATTCAGGTACAGTCTATATAAAATCTTCTCTAAGAACAAGGTCACCCTGAGCAGGTGTAAACCGCTCACACCTGTTCTCCCTGAGAACTGTCTCCCTTAGAGACTGTACATGTACAGTGTGTTTCTCTAACACTGGGTCAAGGCCGACTGCAGCTCATCGGATATTCAGGATGTGACATCAGCCTGTGGCTCCCCCTGCTGGTCGCCTCCTGGAAGAGCAGTACATTGTCTAATTTACAGTTTCCTGCTGTTAGTTTTAATTCTTGTCGAAACAATCCCTTTCGATTTCATACAATCTTTTTCTTATTAACATCTGTCGGGGTAGGGGGGTGGGGATTATATCATGAGAGCTATTTGCAGCTGTAGTTGACACTTATAGGCTACCTACAGTACACCATCATGGTATATGCTGGTTAATGAGAATTAAAAGTAACAACACAGAAATACTGTATGATCAATATTTGTATGTATATTTTACATGATTCAATTTTAGTGAAATTTGTCACAAATATTTTCAGCTCAGCAGATTGTTCAAAAAGTACTGTTGTTAGCTGTGACAAGTTCAGTGTTCAGCTGTAAACTGTCCTGCCAAATATTGAACACAAAAATATTTTCCAAAAATGATTCCTACATGATTATTAAAAATATCAGCAAACAGGTTTATCAGAAAATCCAGTCAGTGTTCATCTTTAAATTGTTGACCATCTGTGTAAAACCCCCACGTTTACAGCTCAGCTTCTCTTATAAAAGGTCCCAGTCCAGCCACCATTAAGAAAGTGCCATCTGTCCCCTCCCATCCATACTTTTGCATTGTCATCAGCCAGTCATTCAGTTTTACCCCAAAAACCGATGGCAAAGTCGATGCAGAGGAGGAATCTCGACCACTCTGTGAGATTAGAAGGAGACAGATGTTGTGTTCCTCTTTAAAGTATTTGCTGACCTCACTCATGCCAAGATTTATAACATGGCCTCACTGCAACAGAACAAACTAGATTATGACTCTGTGCCATTTATAAAGATGTTACTATATCCCAAATCAGCACATTTGTATTTTTAGAAGCACCTGTACCAACACACTGTGCCAGCTGTCGTTACAAGCTGTACTGATTCTTTTACTCCAGACAGTTTCCAAGGAGGAGGGATGATCACAATTGTACATTATTCAGAATTTCATAAAGGGCCAGTTCACACCAAGATGATAAGTAAGTGCAATTAATTCATTCATTTAAAAACGTTTCTCACTCACCTCTAACCATGCAAACAACTGAGATTTCCGTTGCTGCCATACCAATAAAATGGAGGTGAGTGGTGTTGACTCTAGTGCTCAAAATTAAATGCTTACATTTCTTTCCACAATCCTGATTATTCTTCATCATGCACAATACAAAAGGTAAAATAAAAACATTTAAAAAGCTAAAAACTAGAAGGACACTGCTGCTAAAATTTGGATGAAAATGTTTGCATTGCATATGGTCATTTGGCATTTTGGACAGATGGTGGGATGTCTGCTGGGTGAAAACTCTTCAATCCACCACGAGATTGGAAGGAACAGGACATATTTCCATATGAAAAACCTGACTTTTCCATCTCTCCTCCCTGGAGCAGCTGATGAAGACAGGGAGGTCATGTGTCTGGCTGGTGTCCAGCTACCACCTCTTTGTTCATTGTTCTGGCTGGTGCACAGACTGCTGCACATCTGTTCAAAGTGCTTCAGTGTTTCTAATATCACCTTTTTTCATTGGACTGTGTCTGCTACGGCTAACTCGAAAAACAAAAAAAGAGGTGGAGCGTAAGCGGAGCTCGCCACCAGCTATTGCCCAGCCACCTATGGAGGGACCCTCCTGCCTGTCACTCAATCGGCCTACACCCATAATTGTATATAACTTTAGGCCTTAATACAATTTAAAACACTTGTCAGGGAGGGGGAAATTAGCTATAGAGACCAAAACCGTTTTTGTACCAGGCTGTAAATATTTATTTCTGCTCTACAGACCGGCATTTCAACATGGGAGTCTATAGGCATTAACTCCCTTTGGGAGCCCCAAGTGGCCGTTCGAGGTACTGCAGGTTTTGGCACCTCCACATTGGCTTCATTTTTCAGCCTCGGAGCTCGTAATTTAATAAATGTTGAAATCTCTTTGTGATATTATTAACAAATGTGGTTGCTCCTATCCACAGCCTTATATATCTGAGTAACCTTTTAACAGATTCTGATATACAGCATGTGCAGTTCATACGTTTGAGTTAATGCGTCGTCAAGTCGAGGAGTGTCTCAAACAGAAACAACAACTTTGTTTTTTAAATGCTAGTGTCTGTCATCTGTACTGATGCTGACTGAACATAAAGCCAAGGTCATGTGGAATTAAGTGGTTATTTTTCTCTGCATACACTGGAGGGCGCTTTTGCCCAATTTTTAGTCCATTGACTATCCAAGCACAAGATGCAGCACAAGATGCAGCACTCCGTGCTCAGCTGAGAAAGTTTTTCTTAAAAAAAAGTCAAACACACAGAGAGACCTTTCTGGTTTGTTCTATTAGATTATATATGATCCCCAAAAAGAGTTTCACTTGAACCTGTTTTAGTAATGACTTTTAATTCACCATGTTACCTTGTCAGTCACAAATTCTCACTTTTCTTGTTCTGATACTGTAGTTTACATAAGAAAGTTAAAGCGCTGCAGAAAGGTCATAAAGAAGCAGAGAGGGAAAAGACAAAACATTAAATTTAAGGGGAAACACAAAGCTCGGAG